AATATTACTTTGTGTAATGTACAGGATTAGCTTGCCATTATTTTTTAAATAAAAACTCTTTCAGTTACACTTAATATTCAGTGAACAAAGGGTTTTTGGATTATTTCTTTAATAAAAACAGAGAAAGCATTGCTTACAAATAACTTTCCCGTTATGTTAAGCAAGGCATTTATAATTCTTTCTGCATGTGATTGAGAACTCTATTTAACCTTTAATAACTTCTCTATAACCTGGCTCATCCAGGTAAAATCATTTCTAGATTGATCAATTAACATTTACCCATAATTTGAGCAAAGGGCACAGAGGAATGTTGGGAAGAACGAAAGACCCAAGAGAGTAAGTCCTGGCAGAGCCTCCTCAAAACGCCCACGTCCATCTTTTCGTTCCATCCCTGGAGCCACTGCCACATCTAGTCCAGCTCCTTGGCCACTCAGGTCTCAATTGCCAACACGGCCTCCAAGTGCTTCTCACCACTGCCAGCCTCTCTCCCTCCGAACTCTCTCAGAGTGAAGACTCAACTAACACGTCACTCCCTTGCCATGTTCGAAAACTGTCTTCGTCCTCTGGACGGCCGTGACAAAGCACCAAGAACGGGGCAGCTCACTCCTCCAGATCTTGATGTCAGGAAGTTCAAGATCCAGGTACCGGCAGGTTGCGGGTAGAGAACCTGCTCCCTGCTCCGAGGTGGGCCCTCTCCCTGTCCTCTCCCTGTCACAGGGTGCGAGGCTGAGGAGCCCTCGGGGGCCTCTTCATCCAGGCATTTGCGACTCCTGCGGTCTCCACCCTCATGGCTGACAGCTCCTCAAGCCCCTCCCCAGTCCTGTGATTTCAGCACGTGAATTTAGAGGGACGCAGCATCCAGACCAGGGCAGAACCTTCAGAGCGTCCCGCAGACTGGGTGGGCCTCACGTCAGCCCCAGCCCGCTCCTGGCCAGTCTGCGGGGTCCTCAGCCCTTCTGTCTCCTGTCCCACTCTGCTCCTTTCACTGAGCTCACCTGGTTGATGTGCGGTTCAGAGCCTCCTCCCCATGCCCATGTCCCCTGCTGCCCAGAAACCACAGTTCTGACTCAGAACCAATCAGCTCAGCTTTGCTATGGGGCCATCCCGAGGCGACAGTCTCCTGTCTCCTGACATCTCTGCCGCCACAGTCTGTGGTGACATATCACTCCTGGTATACCTGTCCCTTGGGCATCTCGTGTCCCTAGACTGTGGCCAGGCTTGTGTGTTGTCCAGAGCCTACTCCAAGGGTACTTAGCAGGCACTGGAGTTCACAGGAGGCTCTGGTCCGCACAGGTCTGAGTGCCTCGTTAGCCAGAGTAAATGCTCAATAAGCCACTGAGTGAGCAGCATCAACGGGAGCAGAGAAGCTGGGAATATAGACAGGGATTACAAAACAGTGTCCATTCATCCATGCACCAGGGTGTTCAGGGACTTTGGCTACTCAGGGTCGTGTGCTCAGCTGTCTCACGAGGCCTGGTTCTTGAAAGGGCTGCACGTGTGTGGTCTCCATGGATTCATTCCTTTCATTTAACATTGGTCACTAAGGTAGGAACACTTTACAGACGAGTGAGGCCAATGTGTGACACTCATGCAGGGTGAACGGTGGAGTGACACGGAGGAGTGACGCAGGGAAGAACCTCGGGCTCCAGAGAAAGCTGATTGGGGATTGCTAGTCTTGAACCGGCCCCAGGTTCAGCATTTGGGACCGAGTGGAGAGCGCAGTATCGTGCTACAGGAAACGATGGGGAAGAGCATCGGCCTAAGAGGGAAAGAACTAGAAGAAAGAACTAGACCAGAGAGGGCAGGTGCAGAGAAAGCAGGTAGACAGCAGGAAGGACGTTTATCTTCGGAGGATGGAAACTTACACGTGAAGTTCCTAGCAAGTCGCCTGAGCCAGCGGGGTGCTCGTGGATCCCAGCCATTCCCCTCTCCTCCTGACCTAGCACTTGAGCGCTTGTGTGCACCCCCAGCCTTGAAATGACCCTCAGCCTGTCACTTATTTTCCCAGATGATTAATCCTGTAAACTTTTTGTGTCATGTTTATCCTCACCTAACTTTTCAAAATTACTAGGAATATCCTTAATAAGAAATAACAGTGTTATATCAAAGAATTCAGCTGACTGATAATCCCATGTGAAATGCAGACATTTACTACCTTACCATGCTCCAGTTACCTATGATGAACAGATATCTTGCCTATATTTCTACTTACATGGGTGTATCACCACACATACACTTACCTCTCTCTCTCCTGTGTGCACAGACACGTTGGCCATGCGCAGACAGGGACACACAGTGAGAATTCCTGGGTCACTCTCTGTCACCTTTGACCTCCTGCCTGTGCAGATTTTTCCTCACGGTTCCTGTTGTCAGTGACTCTAGGCTCCCAAGGCTGCATGCCACACCCTGAGTCTTGGTCGTGACTCCTTTCTGGTGTGTTAAATGACTCCCGCGTCCTCACTGGCAGCACTGACCACGTCTCTGTGCCCCATCACGTCTCACTAGTAAACCATTGCGACCGTTTACCCCATTTCTTATTCAGGGTCGGCATCGCCTGAAGCCCCTCCGAGGCCCACTTGTCGTGGTGGTGAGGGTTACTGAGGCTAGCTGCTGCGTGAGTGAATCCTGCAGGGTCCCAAGTCCTGGCCTTGGGTACTTCCCAGCCTTAACTGCCGCCTTTGTCCACCTGACACCAGAGTTTCTGAGGGGCCCCCAGACGCCTCGTGGGTTCTTCCTGGCCCCAGGTGAGGCTGCAGCTTTTCTTCTTCCTGGTGGTTAGGGTCCACCACCAGCCAGTTTGGTGAATTTCCCTCCCTGCCTCTGCCTCAGTTCAGGGAGGATGAAGAGGACAGGGGCAGCTGTAGTTCAATTTTGAGCAGGACTCCTCCTGTGTCCCTTGGAGGACATGCTTACCCCTGGGAGCTGTGCCTCTGGGCCACGGCCTCTCATTGCCTGGCGCTTCGTTCTCAGAGGTGGAAGGGGTGAGAGGGCTGATACGTCAGCTATTTTAGAAGGCGTGTGTTTGTAGGCCCCACACTTGGCCTCTGAAACGTCCCCTGGTGGGGGCCCTGAGCTGTGTGGGTCTCTCTCCCACAGTGGCCTCCCGTGTGGTTACCCTTCCTTGCTAATCTGGTGCAAACAGCATGGCACTGCTCAGGAGCAGGTCGGGGGTGAGTGGCGTGGATGGTCTAGTGTGTCGGGCCTTGTGTAACTGAAGGGAACTGGGAATGTGTGCTGCTGTCATCCCCTACGAGAAGGAAGGAGAAGAGCCATGTGCTAGACCAGGGCTGCGTACCTCAGACCTTGGTATCCGTGCCCCCGTCACTGCGGCAGTGGGTTGGCTGCTCTGATTTTACAAGTTTTCTTTTTATTTCCTCCCATCTCTATGCTTTCTGCAAATGTTCTAATATTTTCTCCAGAATTTCTCTGTGCTGATAGTAAAACAGGGGCCTATAAGGCTCAGTCAGCCACGTGACCAAAAGTGAAGTGGAGACCATTTTGCACCCAGCTTAGCTGTGACGGGAAGGTAGCCTGCAGCAGCTTCATGGGGTCCCTGGGTGGATCCAGGATGGCCGTGCATTGCACACAGGGGACTTAGGTTGGACACAGGAAAGCGTTGTTTTATTGTCTTCAAAGGGGAGTCGTAGGAGGGAGAAGGTCAAAAGTCCAGCGCAATCGATGCCTAATAACCCACGGCTCTGGAGATGGAAATGGAGGTCCTGAAAGGACTTTTCATAGGTTCAGAGAGGGGACATGGGGACATGTGTAAACCCACCCAAGGCCTCTGTTCAGGTGTAGTGAGTGGCTCTCAGATCCACAGCATCAACCTGACAAGGGGCATTTCTCCACCTGGGTTTGTGTTAGACATTGCTTTGAAATAAGTGAGATAACAGAATTTTGAAAATTTATTTTAATTGTTAAGAAATTATCTTCTATGATATTAATATTTAATATCATTTTTCTAGAGAAAAAGCTTTTGTGTAGAGTTCTGATAGCTGCTTAGAACTGAGTATGAAGTAAACATGTTTTGTATTTTTTAAAATCATTACATGGGGAATAGGCTTATCTAAATTGAATCCAGAACTTTCTTACTGCTACAATTGCCTCAGAACTGATCTCAATTTAATAGATTCATTTTGTCTCCTTTTTTGACACAAACACAGGTGGCTCATTTGTAAGCAAAGCTTCATAGTTTTCAGGAGATCTGTTTTCCCGTGAGGTATTTTAAGGAGATACAAAACTTTAGGATTTGTATGTATTGATTTATTAGTAATCTTCTAACCATAATTGCAGAAGTTGAATATTTGGATAGGATGTAGGTGGCAGAATAGACAAAACCTTGAAATAGAAAAATGCCTGTTGCATGATCTCTTATTTCCAACGTCTGCTTTTCTATTTGCCAGTGAGAAGCGAGTGACAGCTGCCTCTACCTCCTCTGGTGCAATTGAAATTTTCCTTTGACTTTGGGGAAGTTCAGATTTTATACTTCATTGTAACTCAATTCACAGGGCATTTATGTGAAACCTCACAAGGCCTAACGCTATGAGGATATTGTTGTAACAGACACAGCGTCCACTTGCAAGGGGCTCACAGTCCGTGGGATGAGAAACACCTTGATACCCTGAGGTCATCACAGGTCAAGAGAAGCAGACGCCATGGTGGGTGGATTGGGTAGGTTAAATGGGAATTATGAATCAGGAGAGACTTCTAGAAAGAGATCCGAGTCAAGCTCAGGTCTGAACTACTGAATCCGAGTCAAGCTCAGGTCTGAACTACTGATTGGTAGATGCACTGATAGAGAAACCTAATGCTGAGGGACCGATGGCCTAGGCAGTCCATAGAGCTCCTCTATTGGCTCCCACGAGGGGGCTCCGAAGCCCAGGTCCTGGCACAGAGCACGCCCTAAGCCCCCAGTGGGATTGCAGACAGGGTCATGAAGCACGCGTTTCCTGTCTGCCACTGGAGGCACCCCAAGAAACCCCTTCCCTATCCATATACAGGAGCCCTGTCCTGGTTTTCCAGTGCACCCACCGCCACGTGATCTGCCTAGACTGCTTCCACCTCTACTGCGTGACCAGGCTCAACGACCGGCAGTTCCTCCATGACCCTCAGCTCGGCTACTCCCTGCCGTGTGTGGGTAAGTCTGGCTCTTTATTTGTTCCATTTTAATACTAATTAAGAAGAGACGTATGACCATTGATACAAAACTCTCTTAGACATAGCTGGTGCTAAGATCTAGGTTGAAATTTTCAATTTGATCATTTCTGGATAAGAAACATTAGTGGATGGATCATGAAAGATGTAAGACCCCAGGGGACTGTGTAGGATGAGAGAAAACATAACGTGCTAAAAGGCATTGAGATAAATTGGAAAATATTATTCAGCCAAGGTTCAGAGTTTGTCTGTGGTTTCGACTGACACTGCCAGTCCTGGATTTGTTACCCTGGATCTAGAACAGTATCATCCAAAGATTTAAGTTGTATGCCCTAGCACTAAAAGTGTCAAACACACACACACACACAGTGTAGGTGAAAGAACCTACGTGCAAAAGAAATTAAAGGAGAACTGGTTCAAGCTGAGCTATTTAATATTTAATATTAATATTTAATATTTAATATTGAAGGCATTTTTACCCCCTTTCCCTGCACTGTGTGATTTTCACAGCTCTCATTCCTAGTTGTGACGTTCCTGTGACATGCAGTGAGCCACTTTGAGGGCTACGGTGCAGGGGCATCAGGTACATGCAGTGTTGTTCAAATACCACCCTCTAGTTTTAAACTCCTTCACCATCAGAATACCCTATCTCCACAAAGCCATCACCCCTTGCCCCTCGCCCCAGCCTCTGGCCATCACTGCTGGGCTTTTTGTCTCCACGGACTTGCCCATTGTGGATATTTTCTAAGAAGGAAACCACACAGTATGTGACCTCTGGTCTGCCTTATTTCACCTGGCATAGGCAACTGAGGATCAATCATCTCATGGCACGTGTCGATGCCACTCCTTTTCATAGCTGAGTAATAGTCTGTCGTCCACAATTTGTTCACCCTTTGACCTGCTGATGGGCCCTCATGTTGTGTCCCACTAGACACTTACGAGTAATGCTACCAGGAACATTTGTGTGTGAGGTTCTGCATGGACTCACTTGTGCACTTCCCACAGGTGTATCCTAGAAGCAGAAATCTGTGCTTAGCCTTTTCTAGAACATTCAACTCTTCGCAGTTGTTTTGCCCTTTTGCATGGATGACAGTGGTGCCCAGGGTTCCCTCTGCTCCATATCCTCAGTGGCACTGGTTCTTGTCTTGCTGTGTGTTACAAGGCCCCTGTGAGTGTGGAGCAGGATCCTGTGGTGGATTTGGATTTTATTTAAGGGCAGTAATGTTGAGGATCTTCTCATGTACCGGTTTGCCATTTATACATTGCTTCCCATGGATGTCTGTTCAAGGCATTTGCTCATTTTTAAATAGGATGGTCGTCTTTTTCTTGAGGTGTGAGAGTTCTTTACATATTCTGCATTCAAGACCATATCAGATTTATGGTTTGCAAATGTTTCTCCCATTCTATAGGTTTTCGCTTTCCTGATAACGTTCTTTAATGAAAAAAAAGTTTCAAATTTTGATAAAGTCCATTTTTTTTGTTTTATTTTGTTGCTTTGGTATCAGTAATAATCCATTGCTATATCTGAAATGATGAATATTTTTCCTGTTTTCTTCTAACATTTGCCTCATATATGAGGTCATGGATCCATTTTGAGTTAATTTTTGTATATGGAGTGTGATAGGTGTTGCTACCTACTGATTATATATTTTAATGGCTATAATATAATTAATCATGCCTCACTGGTTTTGAAAATTATAGTTTGAAACTATGATACCTTGATTCAATGGTTGAGCTTTAAGTTCAATTTATTTCAGTACTTAATTTTAATGTCAATCATAGCATGCATATATCTATATCTATACTTCAAAATAATTTAGAAATCCAAATGGAAGATGCTGATAGCAATGTAGGCTTTAGGAGTCATAGGGTTCATTTTCTAAGGATATCTATTAACAATACAGTGCTTTATATTGAGTCTCATAATGTGTTAGAAAAGCTCATTGAAAGGATTTGTGTTTTTATATTTTTAACAAAAGCATTCAAAAGCCAAAAAGCAATCATGTGTAGGTTGGAAAACTCTTGTTTCTAATATTTTTAGGAAGGCAATTGTGTCCTGGTAGATCCTGCTCTCCATTAAACCGTGTACTGGACGCATCTCTAAACAGCCTTCTCAAGACTCCTGTACACACTCAAGACGCTTTTAAAAATAGTCCATGTCTGTTTTAGCCAGCTTTTTCATTGCTGTGAGTAAAAGATCTGACCAGCACAACTGTAAAGGAGGAAAAGTGTATTTAAGGGCTCCTGGTTGCAGAGGTCTTAGTCCACCGGAGGCCGGCTCTATTCCCTGGGCTAGAGGCGAGGCTGAACAACGTGGCTAAAGAGGGTGACAGAGGGAAGCAGCTCACATGATGATCAGGAAGCAGAGAGAGACTTCACTGGTCAGATACATATATGTACCCCAAAGCCACACCCCAGTTCCCTCCTCCTCCAGCCACACCCACCAATTCAGTTACCACTCAGTTAATCCCTGTCAGGGGATTAATTCACTGATTGGGGTAAGAGTCTCAGAACCCAATCATTTCTCCTCTAAACCTTCTTTCATTGCCTCACAAGTGAGCTTTTGGGGGACACCTCACATCCAAACCATAACAATGTCTCACTCATCCTTAAAATATCGACCTTTTTGTTATAGAAAAATTTCAAACCCAAAAACTTAAAGAAAAAAACACCACAGTGAGCCCCTGTGTCTTTGGCCAGGTGGTGCAAGTTTCTCAGGAGCTCCGGTTTCCCTCAGGTCAGTCTTTGTGCCCGCCTGGGGTACTCACTCGACTAGGCTGGTTGCTCTTTTGTACCTAGTTCAAAAAGCAAGGAGACATGCATATGTCTTTTGAGTGCAAACCATTAGTTACGTGGACTTTTTCACTTCAATTTCAGGCTTGTGGAATTTTTGTTTTTAAATCACCAATATTACAAACATTGCTTTCTACCTTGGCAAAAAAAAAAAAAAAAAAAAAAAAACTCCTATTACTGAGTGATATCAACAGAGTTATTCATACATTTTCCTCCACCTCCTTTTTCCCCTCTGTAGTGTAAATTATTTTCTAGAGATCACTCCTGAGTAGTGCGTGGGTATGTTCTCCATCTTTCAGAACACAGCATCACTGAAATCCAGTGTGTAGGTCACTGCATTGTTGAGGTTCTCCTTTTGTTATCACAAATGTTGCTACAGCTATAGTCTGTGTGCACCTGTATTCTCATACTGTTGTCACAGTACCATTGAGATGGACTCTCAACAATGGGGATACTGTATCAATGGGAAAATGTCTGTCTATTTTAATGGCTCCAGTTTGGTGGGGGGTGGGCCCTGGGGCCCCACCCTGGCAAGGCGAGTCCTCTCTCCGGAGCCACCCGGCCCCACTTTACTGTTTCCAGATTCCCTCCTGAGAGCGGGAGCTTCCCTACCCGCTGCAACGCCTGGGAGCCGCAGGCCCTCGGCCGCCTCTGCGAGGCGGGAGGTGGAGAGCTTCAGCATCTTTTCCGGGTTATATATTTGAGAAATGAGATTCCATGTTGCTTTTCATTTCTTTTTTTGAGTCAGGTTGAGCAGCTTTTCCTATGCTTCGATCTCTTTGCACTTCTTTTTCTCAGTCAATTTAAAGCATCACCTTTTCTTTGAGGAACAGGCCAGTGGACATTTTCTTCAGGAGGATGCCTCCCTGGTATCCTGCCCTGCTGACCACAGCAAAGGTTGGGAAGTCGGGTTACGCTTGTCTTTGTAAAGAATATGGGCAGATTCGCTTTAATTTTGCTAGATGTTTGCCACCAAGTAACTTATAACCACTGTGAGAAAACTGGGTCTGGTTAGGCTCGGCCTCATTAAAATGTGTTTTGTAGATTTTGTTGTATTTTAGTCAGGTTTTAAATACCTTTTCATAAATTATTTTATTTTTCATTGACCATGTCACCAACGTCCTTAGGATCTGGTGGACTCACAGGTGAATTTCTTTGTTTCTCCTTCGCTCTGTTTTAGTGTTTCTGAGCATGGCTGCCTATGCTGGTCATTTAGACACAGCATTCCTAGACACTTTTATTTTTGAAAGTGCCTCCTGCTATTGAGAATTTAGGTATTTGTCTATTTCGCTATTTAAAAAGAATGGAGCAAATAAGGGCAGGGGGACAGATCTGAAGCCAGGGGGCGCTGTGCAGCGTGGTGAGCCACGCTCCTGCCCAGTGCTGCCCATGCATGCTTCCTTCCAACCGTGCTCTAATACACCTCCAAAGTGCTCGCTTGTGAGAAAACAGAGTTTGGTCTGTAGCGGCATTGTTCTTCATGGCTCATTTTAGCCTTTTAAAAATTTTACTGTGGCTTCAATTATAAATGTTTCGCCATGTTATGTTTAAGGAGACTTTCAAATGGCATAGACTATTTTTTTTTAATTTTGCAAAAGCAAGTTGGATTATCATTAGTGTTAGCTCAGCAGAGATGCGCTCTTGCTTTCTTCTTGCTTTGTTCTTATAATGAACTGAAACGTGATGGCCCTGCCCTCTGCTCAGCCCCCATCGCAGGGCCACTGTCCTCCATTCAGGGTCTCTTCAAGGACGGTGCACCACATGGTCAGTGTTGCTGACCTTCTACTTGGGCTTACATTGTTGGTTCTACCTTTAATAATTTGTGGATTATTCCTAAGTCATCACCTGTTTTACAGAGCTAGTTTGGTTTATATGCAATAGTTTATCCGTCATGCCTGTAGCCAACCACAGGGCATCTGCTGAAGGGTAACTGTCAGGTCAGGGCCGGGGCCTCAGACTGTGATGAGAGTCTTAGGTATTTGTCTATTTCGCTATTTAAAAAGAATGGAGCAAATAAGGGCTGCAGGACACACCAAGGGAATCATCTGAGATACAGACCTCAGAAGGACACGAGACGTTCCCAGCATCTCTCGGCCTGTGCATCAAGTCTTCATGAGGCCTAATTGTTTTCCTATTTTAAGTGACAGCTTTGTAAGTCCTGCTATTGCTCCATAAACCAGTGAGTCATTT